AAAGACTTTTTAATTTTATGTAATCAAAATGATCTATTTCACATTTCTAAAGGAGAAGTTAAGTGAGTTACAGGAAGATAGTGTTGATTGTATTGGGAAGGTTTCTAGCTTATGTCCATTATAGATAACGCTTGTTAATGGCTTTAGATAAATATTACTTAACATTTTAAGGAAAGTTCCCTTTATTCCTTTGCTTTCTAGTGTTTTTAGTAAGAATAGGTGTTATATTTTGTCAAAGGCTTTTTCTACATCTGTTTTTTTACATGATAAATTTATTATATATTTAAAAAGATTAGGAAGTTGTACATAATAGATTTGCAGGTTCATATGCAATTATCTTTTTTCTTATGCTTGTTTTATTCCATAAATTATAAATTAAAGAAAATTTGTTTTAAAAAGAAAAAAAAAGAATATGTGATAGACACATGTCGAGATGAGGGAAAACTGATATACAGTCTGTATGTTCCATTGTAATCCTTGTGATGTTAAAAATAGTGTCTCCAGTATATTTGATACATTCCTTGTAGCAAACAATGGAATGTCAGGAACAAAAATTAAACAAGATGGGCAGGCATGGATGGGATGCAATCAGCATCACTGAAGGAAACATCCAAATTGATGAGGCCATGAATCTCTTTGATTAATTATTGTTATTGCTGAGTTGTTTCAGTCATGTTCAACTCTGTGTGACCAAATTTGGAATACTCTTGGCAAAGATACTGGAGTAGTTTGCCATTTCCTTCTCCAGGTTATTTTTTATAGATGAGGAAATGGAGGCAAACAGGGCTCAGTTACTTGCAAAGGGTCACAAGCTAGTAAGTGTCTGAAGCTGGATTTGAACTCAGGTCTTCTGAACTCTAGAGTCAGAGTTCTATCCACTCTACCACCCAGATGCCATATTTGATGAATTAGACTGAGCAAATGTAGAATAAAAGGCTTCCTAAGATAATAGGTTCCCCTATAAGTTAATCACTAAGGTGCTGAGACAAGATAACCAGTTGTCATCATTGTTGTAGAGAGGATTCCTATTGAGGTATAGGTTGGACTAGGTGGCTTATCTTGTCTGAGAGTCAGGAAGACCTGAGTTCAAGCCCTGCCTCCAATGAAGATTGGCTGGGCATATCTCAGTGGTCCAGGCAACTTTCTAAAACTGTAAGCTGCAGAAGAGCTGCCAATGTGATTGAGTGAAAGTTGTTAACTCACCAAGATTAGTTCATGCCATGGATAAAACCACAAGTCCATTTGCCAAATTAAGATATATCTATATCTCTCTCTATTATATACACATGTATATATTTGCATATGTGCATATATGTATATACACATACACGTGTATACATATATATATATATATATATATATATATTTACTCACTTTGAACCCTTCATGTAGCTCAATATTGGAAAGTTAGGTAGCCCTACTCAGGCTAAGCAAGAAGGTTAAAGCTAATTTCTATACTCCTAATGTAGCTGACGATAACTTTTCAAGCATTTAATGAATATTCCATGACAAAACTATAGGTGATCATTACTTTGTAATTGTATTATACATACTGACTGCTAATGAAAAGTGAATTATATGAAATTAGAACTGTTTATGCAAGGATTTTTCTAAATGAACCTTAATTCATACGTTGTATAAGTATGCATTTTGTAGCATCATTTTACATGGACTGTACTATAAATGTTAGTAAGACATCTGCCTCCCTCCTCAAATCAGAACAAATTATAGGCCCCTTAGCAGTTAAAGAGGAACACCTGTACTACATTTTGAATGCAATGGTTTTTATAGTTTCTGTTTTGTTCAGCCTGACTTTTGTATTATAACCTTTAATTTTCAGGGAATCATTACCACCATTATGATACCTACTTTCAAATATTTGTGTTAAAAAATAAAAAACGTTTCTTTTGAGACTCTCACATTACAGGCATTTATTTCTGCTAAAATTTTACAATGTGTGCTCAAGTATGTTCGGGGGAAAGTTGCTAAGAGTGAATCAAATAAGTAATTTTATAAGTATATTTCATAGATTTCTTGACAAAGATTTTCCATAAGTAAACTTCTCAGTGAAATAAGTGTTAACAAAAGTTATATTTTGTGTGTTCTAAATTAGGTACAATGAAGTTCTTCTTTAAATCACTAACTGAAGAGGAATACAGAAGTGAGGTGCTGCACAAGAACACGTTATTTAGAATTAGATGATGTAGTTTCATACTACTTTTGTTATCTGTTACCTATGAGACCCTGGGCAAGTCATTTAAACTCTTTGGGACTAATTTTTCTTGTCTGTGAAATGAGAGGGAAAGGATGGAACACATAAGGGCAAAAATCTATGCTTGAAAAATAGAGATGTTTTGGAGTTCACACAGAGTTCAACATTATTTTCATTACTCAGTTTTGGTTTTTTTGAAAATGCATGTTTTTATGTCCAGGTACATGGGACTGGCCCTGATTTTCATCATTGTTAATGGACAGCTCCCTGGGGTCAGAAGCATTATGCTTGGCATATGTTGTGGCAGCAGACAAATTCAAGCTTCTCCTACTTGAAAATATTTTCAGGGCTTATTCAGGAAATAAATTGATAGGCTAATTTCACAGGTTACCTATGTGCATTTTCATTCATTTTGTTTTTCTAAAGTGGATGTTTAAACCAGTCTGATATTATCATGGATTTCAATATAATGATTTCAGTGTCATCTGTGAATAGGAACATTTAGAAAACCTCAAGATAAATAAAAATACTTCTATATGAATACTGAAAAGAGTATCTGTTACGAAACTGACTAATATCTTAAGTGAATATATTACTCCTTTTTCACAATATCATTTTAGATTCTAGCATTTACTGTATCATTGTAAATATGCCTGATAAAGAGTCGTCAATGAAGTAAGCCTGTATTCTAAGCTAGGCAATAGGAATACAAATAATAAGTGAGTCTGTCCCTGATCTCAAAAAAAGGTTTTTCTGCCAATTTGACTAGAGAGAAATACCTATGTGTGAAGCAAATGACTTGTTAATGTCAACAAATTAAAATGGTAGAATTTTATAACTCTCTAAATTTGAGCTTTTCCTTGGTGCACACACGCACACACACACACACACACACACACACACACACACTAACCATAAAATCTTCCATCTTCATTTCTTGTGTTTTTCTTGGGAATGTTCTAAAGGAATGTGCAGACTATTTTCATAATGATATTTTAATGATGAGTAAGTAGTCATATGAATTAGTAGTTGCTAATGTCATCTGGGTCACCTTTTTGGGGGTGAAAGTAGCATTCGTGGACTTTTACTTATTTGATATCTATCTATCTATCTATCTATCTATCTATCTATCTATCTATCTATCTATCTATCTATCTGTCTGTCTGTCTGTCTGTCTATTTATCTATCTATCGCACTAATCCCAGAATTGTAAATTGATCCCAGGGACCATCTAGTCTAACCTGAAACTTTGTGAGTTTTCTCTCTACCTTTCACAGGTGCTGGCTATCTAGCCTTTGCTTTAGGTATTATGTTCCTTATAATTTTTTCTACAAAATAAATATCCCCAATTTCTTCCACCAAGCACCATATAACATGATCTCAAAGTCCCATCACTATCTTCCCCCCCCCTTTTCTGGACATTCTCCAATTTATTAATATCCTTCCTAATCTTTGCCCTTTATTCCTTTAACCAAGTCATTATTAAAATATTAAACAAAACAGTTCCATGTACAGACCTGTGAACATGAAATTCAAGACCTTTATCCCAATTAGTATCAAGTCATTAATGCCTACTCTTTGGCTCTGCTCATTCAACTAGGTGCAGATGACCTAATGGCATTAAAACTCAGCTCTCCCTCTATTCTAAAGAATAACATGAGGGACTAACTCAGCGCCTTTGCTGAAATCTAGGTAAACTATGCCTACTGTGCTGTTCTGTTCTTCTGTTCTTTAGCAACTTTGTCAAAAAGAGACAACAAATCTATCTATCTGCAATGTCTTTTTCTTGATGAATCCATACTGGTTTTTTTGTGACCATGAAAATTTAAAGATAAATCACCATGTTTCTACATATTTGCCAATTCTTTCAGTACATACAATAACATTAATCTTGGCCAATGACCTGAACTTAACAAGGGCAGTTAGATGTACTTCACTTATAATGAGTATCAACTCTATTAACTGCTTAATTCTGTCCCTTTTTGTCCAATGGGAAGGCTACTTGGAAGAGAAAAAAAGTAAAGTAAGAGTTTAACACTTTTACTTTCTCTTTATTGTCAGCTATCATCATCCTATAGACCCTTCCTTTTATATTCCTCATTTCCCTTATATAGTCTGCCTTTAAAATAAAGGTTTGTACCATGTATTTATGTGAAGCACCTTTCTCAGCATTGATGTTTGTTAAATCAAAATATCGATGAACTCTGAAAACTGTTGAAGATGCTGTACATCCTGCAGTATCAAATATTCCTTCGAGATTTAATTCTTAATGTAAAAATAAACAAGCACCTCCACCTCATTGATTGCTTCCATCTTTAATAAATGGTAAAATTATATATAGACCAAAGAATTGTTTTAAAATAAATGTTATTATTATTTATTATGAAAAAAAGAGTTCTTTTCTCATCCACCAGGGCACAGTTCCCCAGGAGGGTTTGGGGCAATGGGATCCTACCTATCCCTTCTCTGAACCCTTTGAAGGCTGTTCTTCCAAAGTGTAGGGTGCAAGCTAAGACAATTTGCATATGAGACAGAGTAGCAAATTTTCCCAAAGGTTCTGATCATTCCACCCCACCAACCAATTCCTCCTTGTTTCTGAGCATCAGAGAGAGAATAGAATTTCCACTTATTGGTTCCTCCACCTTTCAAAGGCTGCAATGATTATTAATGCAGGGAAAGCAACTCTTTGCTTTTTCCCTTTGGCAGAAGGAGATCTCCAGCAGATGTCTGAACAGTTGAAATTTCCCATCATTGGATTATGCTTCTAGGACAGGTTTGTGATCTGTCTTCACCTTTTCCACTTTCCATCCAGGTGTTCTGAGATACATTCTAGTTGCGGTTCCTGGCCGCCGTCCAGAGGTTCTCGCATTTCTCCGGGGTCGCGGTCTCGGACGAACTCCTGCTCGGGGGCCGCGGGCTGTGGAGGCTCCAGAAGCTGCTCCAGGCAGGCAGTGCGGGGTAAGGAGGAGCTTTTCTGGTGGGACAGGCGGGCTCTGGAGCCGCGCCGCTCGGCGCCCTCGTCGCCTACCTGCAGCTCCCTGAGGGGTGGCTGAGGCAAAGAGGGGACCCAAGGAGGTAGAGTAAGAGGGCGCCAAGTGTGGGGAGCGGCGTCGCCCCTTCCCAGCCAGGAGCAAATGCTCAGGGATTCAGCGTCCAGGGGCTCCGCAGAGGAGCGGCAGAGGTTGGAATGGGAGGAGGAGAAGACTCTGTCCAGCACCAGCTCCCTCTTCTTGAAGCCGCTCCACCTGCTGCCTCCCAGGCCGCGGCGCTTGTCACAAGGTGGAGCTGGGGAGGGTGATGGGTCCGGGCAGCGCGGTTCTCCGCCTGGGGCCGAGCCCCGCTTGTCCGCCCCCGCAGCCCTTGCTCTTGCTGCCCCTCAGCTGCAGGTTCTCCAGAGCCGGGCCTGGAAGGAGGAGGTGGATCCCCCCCCCCCCCCCGGCATCTATTGAGAAAGTCACATGATTTCTGTTGGGTTTGTTATTAAGGCGATAGTTATGTTGATAGTTTTTCTGATATTGAACCAGCCCTGCATTCCTAGTATAAATTTCGCTTAGTCATAGCCTATGTCCTTGCGATATATTGCTGTAATCTCCTTGCCAGTCCTTTATTTAAAATTGTTTCCATCAATATTCATTAGGGAAATTGGTCTATTATTTTCTTTCTCTGCTTTAGCTCTTCCCGTTTTAGGTATCAACAACATATTTGTGTTGTAAAAGGAATTTGGTAGGACTCCTTTTTTGCCCATTTTTCTAAATAGTTTATGTAGTACTGGGATGAATCCTTTAAATGTTTGTGAACATTCCCTTGTGAATCCATCTGGCCCTGGGGATTTTTTCTTACGAATTTCATTGATGGCTTGTTCAATTTCTTGTTCTAAGATTGGGTTATTTAAATATTCAATTTCTTCTATTAATCTGAGTAATTTTTTTTTTGTAGATATTTATCCATTTCACTTAATTGACAAATTCATTGGCATATAAGTGGTCAAAACAGCTCCTACTTTTAATTTCCTCTATATTGGTGGTGAATTCACCCCTTTCATTTTTGATACCAGTAATTTAATTTTCTTCTTTCTTTTTTTTTTAAATCAAATTAACTGGTTTTATCTTTTTATTGCCCCCCCACCTTAAAACCAGCTTCCTGTTTCATTTATTAGTTCAACGTTATTCTTACTTTCAATTTTATTAGTCACTTCACTGTTTTTTAGGATTCCCAATTTGGTGTTTAATTGGGGATTTTATTTTGCTCTTTTTCTAGTTTCTTTTAGTTGCATGCCCAATTCATCAACCTGCTCTTTCTCCATTTTGTTGGGGTAAACAATTAGAATTATACATTCTCCCTACTTACTGTGTTAGCTGCATCCCCTAAATTTTTGCATATTGCTTCATTGTTGTCGTTTTCTTTAATGAAATTATAGATTGTTTCTATAATTTGTTTTTTGATCCACTTACTTTTTAGGATTAGATGATTTAGTTTTCAATTAATTTTTAAGCTATTTTGCCATTGCCCATTAATGAACACAATTTTTATTACATTATTATCTGAAAATGACCCACTTAGTATTTCTACCTTTCTACAATTGATTTTGAGGTTTTTATGTCCTAATATATGGTCAATTTTTGTGTAGGTGCCATGTTCCACTGAGAAAAAAGATATTCTTTTCTATACCTATTTAATTTTCTCCAGAGGTCTGTCATATCTAACTTTTCTAAAATTCTATTCACCACTTTAATTTCTTTCTTTTTTAATTAGTGTTTAGATTTATGTGGTTCTGAGAGGAGAAAGTTGAGGTCCCCTACTAGTATAGTTTTATTTTCTATTTCCTCCTGTAAGCCACTTAACTTCTGCTTTAAGAAACTGGATGCCATACTACTTGGTGCATATAGGTTTACTACTGTATTACTTCATTGTCTGTGTTACCTTTTAGTAAGATGTTTCCTTCCCTATCTCTTTTAATTATATCTATTTTTTTTTTTTGCTTTTGCTTTGTGTGATCATGGCTGCTACCCCTCTTTTTTTTTTTTAACTCCAAATGAAGGAAATAGATTTTGTTCCAACCCCTTGTATTTACTTTATGTGGGTCTCTATGTTTCAAGTCTGTTTTTTGTAAACAACATGTTTTAGGATTCCAGTTTTTAATCCATTCTGCTGTCTATTTCTGCTCGATGGGAGAGTTCATTCCACTCACATTTACATTTATGATTACTGTGTATTCCCCTCCATTCTATTTTTCCTTTTGTTTATCCTTCTCTCTCTTCTTTCACCTTTTCCCTCTTCACCAGTGTTCTGTCTCTCTCTACTTTTGTCAGTACCCCCTTTCACTCAATCTCCTTCCCTTCTATTTCCACATAGGGTAAGATAGATTTCTAAATTCAACTGATTGTGTATGTTGTTCTGTCTTTCTGTCAATTCTAACGAGAGTAAGGTTGAAGTGATGCCCATCATGCACCATCCCATTTTCCCATGCACTGTAATAGACCTTTTATGTCTCTTCCTATCAGATAATTTACCACATTCTACCTCCCACTTCTTTCTGCTCCCAGCGTAATGCTCTTTTTCACCTGTTAATTTTTTACATCATCCCCTTGAAGTCGCTTTATACCTGTATCCTCTACCTATGTAAACTCATTTTAACTGTCCAAATAATGATAAAGTTCTTAGGAGTTACAAGTATCATTTTCCCATGTAGAGATGCAAACAGGTTAGCCTTATTCAACCCCTTATGTTTTCTCTTTCCTTTTTTACCTTTTTTATGCTTCTCTTGATTCTTGAAATTAGAAATCAGGTCCTCTTCCCCCCCCCCCCCAGCTCTGGTCTTTTCATCAGAAAACCTTGACAGCCTTCTATTTCATTGAATGACTTCCCCCTCCCTCTCCCCCCCAAGGATTATGCCTAGTTTTGCTGGTGGCTAATTCTTGGTTGTAGTCATGGCTCCTTTGCCTTCCAGAATATCACTTTCCATGCCTTTCAACCCTTTAATGTTCAAGCTGCCAAATCCTGTCTAACCCTGATTGTAGTTCCTCAGTATTTCAGTTGTTTCTTCCCTGCAATATTTTTTTCTTCACCTGGGAGTTTTGAAATTTGGTGATAATGTTGAGCAGAGTTGTTATTTTGAGATCTCTTTCAGAAGATGATCAGTGGATTCTTCCAATATCAATTTTATCCTCTGATTCAAGGATATGAGGAAAGTTTTCTTTCATAATTTCTCCAAGTATGATGTCCAGGTCCCCCCCTCCCTTTTTTTTTTTTTTGGTTTCTGTTCATGACTTTCAGGTAGTCTAATGATTCCTAAATTATCTCTCCTAGATCTATTTTCTGGTCAGTTGTGTTTCCAATGAGACTTTTTTTTCTTCTATTTTTTTCATTGTTTTGATTTTGTTTGATTCTTTATGTCTCAGAGTCATTAGCTTCCACTTGCCTAAGTCTAATTCTTTTAAAAATTATTTTCTTCAGGCAGCTTTTGTATATCCTTTTCCATTTGACCAATTCCACTTTTTAAGGAGTTTTCTTTTTCCAAACTATTGACTCCTTTTTTCATTATTCTCTTGCATCATTTTTATTTCCCCAATTTTTTAAACCTCTCTTATTTGATTTTCAAACCTCTTTTTAAAAACTCTTTCAAGAGTTCTTTTTGGGCTTGATGCCAATTCATATTTTTTTGAGGCTTTATATGTAGGTGTCTTGACTTTTTTCTCATCTTCTGAATTTTTATCTTCATCTTCTCTGTCACCATAATAACTTTTTTAATTTGATTTTTAATTTATGAAATAATGCATTTCCATAGAAGTACAATAAAAAGTTGATTGTACATGAAACTGCAAATTACTATGCACAATTTGCTATTCTTTTCAAAAATACAACAAAATTATCACATAATTTTTTTTATTCCTTCTCTCCCTCTCCAGAGATAGCTACCATTAGACACAAATAGGAATATGTCTGTAAAATTATTTTAGAAATATTTCTATTTATTATTCTTTCTCTGGATGCAGATAGTGTCTTTATATATCCTTTGTAGTTAATTTGGGTATTTATAATAGAGAAAAATCTTTTTGATCAAAATCATTTATATATATATGCATATGTATATATATATACACACACACATATATATATACATATATATACACACACACACATACATATATATATATATATATATATAATTTTGAATTATCATCAATCACTTCCATAGGCTTTTGAGTTTTAAATTTTTCTTTCCCTCTCCCTGCCTCTCTCCTGAAGATGTAGTGCAATCTGATATAGGTTATACGTATACATTCCTATTGAACATATTTTCACATTAGTGATATTGTAAATAAGAATTAGAAAGGAAAGAATAAAATAGGAAGAGGAAAGAAAAGATTGGAATCTTAGGTTAAACAAATTGGGGTATAAGAAAGAATGGACTAATATTGTATCAGAAAAAATGACAAAATGAATTATTTCAGAAATCCCAGATAGAAAGAACTGAGGCAGAGTGAAGTGAGAACTAGAACACTTTATACAGCAAAAATACTTAATACAAAACAGAATTATGAAAGACCTAATGATATTAATTAATTCAATGCTGCACCTTATGTCCAGAGGACCTATGATGAATCATGCTATCTATCACATGACAAAGAGGCAATGGAATCAGGTACAGAAAGAGTTACAGAATTTTGGACACAGCCTGGTGTGAATTAATTTTGCTTGAATCTACTTATTCATTAGAAAACAATTTTATCTTAGTTTTTAATTGGGGGTTGGAGAGTAGGGTGAGAAGTTTATTAATAGTGATGCCAAAAATCTGGGTTATTGAACCACTTTCAATGCACAGAGGAAAAAAAAGAAAAAAGGTCACAAGGAAACAGACAATCAATACAATAAAATGCTATGTTTGAAAATATATGTATACGTGTGTACATATATGTATATATCCTATGTAAGTGCCCTGTGTAGATATACATACTTGCACATGTATTTATAATTGTATGTAATATAAATTTATCTAATTCTCCATATACTACTTAATATGTTTATATTTTGTATATTATATTTTGTTCATATAAGCAATATGCTTATTCAACATATGTACATGTGTATATATACATGTTTTTTCATGAGAAAATAATATACAATGATAGAAAAGGAAGGGGTGTGTATATATTTATAATACATGAAAGTATTTGCACATATGTGTGTGTGTATAGCTATTATAAAGCAAGTGAGATATGAAATAGAGATTGACCATGTCATTTACAATTCTCTTCTGGCATCTTGCTGTGAATATATCAATGCTTATTTTTGTTTTGAAGTTACAAATTAAAATGAGATTACCCCTGATAGCACACATGATACCATTGACTTGAGCAAAAGGAGTGGTAATGAAAACATTACAAAGGACATACACACAGTAGGACCACATGGATTAGATGTCTCACGCATTAAAGGCAGCTGGTGGCAGAATGGATACAGTTTCAGGCCTGAAGTGAGGAAGACCTGTTTTTAATTCCAGCCTCAAACATTTACTAGTCCTGTGTCTCTGGACAAGTCACTTAACCTCTAGTTGATTCCATTTCCTCATCTGTAAAATAGGGATAATAACAGCACCTATCTTTTGGAGTTGTTGTGAGGATCAAATAAGATTATATTTGTAAGATACTTTGCACAGAGCCTGGCACAGAGTAACCATTATATAAATGTTTACTATCATCATCCTTAATGTACATATGTACATATATACATGCACATATATACATGCATAAATGTATTGTGTTTATACCATATACATATATGAATGTGTGCATATAGCCATATGAATTTATATACATGTATAGATTTGCATATGAATATAGCCTAAGACATATAACACAAAATTGAATCTGCTCTAGGCTCTCACTGCATGCAGAAGAACATTGTGGTCATGACCTTTTATCCACAATTCTTAAATATCCAGAATTTATATTATTATGCTAGACCTTGTGCCTAAGGGACACTGAATTAACAGCAAATGCAGCTAAATTACTCACCATTTCTGTGATTTCTGCAAATGAGAACCTTGCACGTCTGGCTTGCCTACCTTTAAAAATGGAAATGGTGGTTGATGGAATCTGAAATGACTGAGGAAACAAAGGTTTGATCTTTTGAGCATACTGATTTATTAAACAATGCATCCCAATTGTATAACTAATGGGAATCAGGCCTTCTTAGCTTAACCTATCTTTGCCTCAGTTTCTTTCTTTAAAAGATTGAGATAACAATAGTACCTACCTCCCAGGATACTTTTTGGGGGCACAAAGAGAATCAAATAAAATATTTGTGAAGTGCTTTGGAAACCTTACAGAACTTATCAATGTGAGATTTTATTATGGTGATTATTTTCATCTTTTGTCATCTTAGCCTATTTAACAAGTGTGAGATGTTACTTCTATTTGCATTTGGAGTATTTTTTTTAATATGGTGGTTGACAGCTTTTATTTCATTCTTTGACAGTTACCTGTATATAGTATTATCCATTTATTTGGGAAATATCTCTCAGTCTTATAAATTTGAATCAGTTCTTTATGTCTAATTGCATGAGAGACTTTTATAAACAAAAAGGAAACAAACAAACAAAAAACTTTCACCAAAGACTTTTCCTTCAGTTACCCATTTTTCTTTGAGTTAATTAATTTTTTGTTTATACAAGACCAAAGTAAAATTATTATATTACTGATTATTAATAATAACGATAAAATATCTACTTAGTATTTTCAATTTTTTCAGTTTTTTGTATAAGGCCCTTTTGGCCTCTAAAAGAACCTTGCAAAGAAATTACAGAGTATTAATATCACAATTATATAGATGAGAAAACTGAGACTCAGGTAAGTTCAAGATTTTTAAAATGTTATGGTGCTCCTAAATGATGGAGACAGGATTAGATCCCAAGCATTCCTATTTTTAAGCTCAGCACCTTATTTTCTACACCATATTTCCTCAGAAAATATTTGGAGAATTTTTCAATTTAGAGAACTGAAGATGAGAAGGAAGAAATGAGAAATGTTGCTCAAGCAACATGAGCACTGGTTTGGTGTAATTCAGAAATGTCAAACATACTGCTGTCAAGATATTAGGAGACACCCTGTTTTCCAAAGCTAAACCCCAGCAAGTAGGCTGTGTGCCCTGAGGGTAGCATAGCAATAATCTCTTGTGCTCATCCTCTGGATGCTCTCAGCCACAGCAAAACCTCAGAATTGGAATTTACAATTTCCCTATTTCCCAGGGGATTGTGACCTGAGAGCTGGAACTGCAGCCTACATGCTGTAGCAGAAAATGATCAATTACATGCCTCACATTGTAAACAATTCCTGTGCTTGTAACTGCTAAGTAAACTGAACCTGGTGTTTCATCCTGTTCCCACAACACTGACTCTGGTTCTGTACCCTACTGAATGGTCACAAGACTGAAGGAGCCTTAAGCCCTGAGACAATCAAAAGATTCAGCATTTCTAATAACTTGGAGACTCTTCCCACAGGAGCTAAGAATTCCTGTATTTTCTGCAAAATGCCTGCACTTGTGGGCATACCAAGAGAACTATTTACTCAAGACTTAAGAATGGCTGTTTTGGGTCCTACTTTTTTATGGTTTTCATATTAAAAATCCTACCTCTGCTACAAGCAAGTAAGCCCTCCTTCTCAGGAGGACTTTGCTTGCAAGCCCGTTTTCCTCAGTCTGAAATTAAACTGCCATTTGATTGCTGACTCACCTACCTCTGGCCTGCTTTGATCAGTGCTGGCCATCTAGATTTTAGAGACAAATCTAGTCTAGACTATATTTGAAATTCTTTTGTCACTGTGAAAGGACCACAATGTGGTCCATGACATTAGAGAGTATGATGTATAGTGGATTAAAATGTAACTTTGATATATTTAACAAAATTAATAAAAAAAAATATGGAGAATGTTGTTTTTTAGTCATTTCATAGGTGTCTGTCCCTTCATGTCTCCATTTGGTTTTTTGTGGCAAAGATACTAGAAATGGTTTCCATTTGTTTCTCCAGTGGATTCATTTTGTCAGGCAATCATAGGTTAAGTCACTTGACTAGGGTCACACAGCTAGGAAGAGGTTGAGGCTGGATTTGAACTCAGGTCTTTCTTACTCTTGGCCCAGTGCTCTATCCACTGAACCCTGAGGTGTCTCTAAAGCACAGATAATGTTATATCTTACAGTAAAATCATTATACAACTCATAGAGATCCTTATATATGGCTCAGTGACCTCTATTTCTATTTGAGTTTTACATCATTGAGCTAATGAAAGGAAAAGTAGATTTGAAATCAGGAGACACAAGTTTAAGAAATAAATATGTCACTTGCATCAGTGTCATCAAAAACATATCTGAACAAGAACACTCTTGTAAAAGAGGAAAGAGTTTGAATACATGATCACAGAGGTCCTTTTTAAATCCTTAGATTCCACTGTTCTTGTCACTGTCCCATGAGCTTTGGAAAGACATTTGTTTATTATAGTGTTAGGGGAAGAGTTCTGGAAATGGGTATGGTTGTTGACAGTGTGGCATAGGAGACAGCAACGCCTCCCATGCCACAGAGCATACCAATATTTGAGGACTTGGGAGTCAAAGAAGATCATCACAAAAGGGCTGATGGCTGGGAACCATGCAGCTAGATGGTCTGAGGCAGCCATGAACCAGGGTGGATATTTGTCAACTTTAAATTGGTAAAATGACAAGCTAGAATGAATGGAATAAAAGGAGACATAGGTGATCACTAGTAGGAGGATTGCTTGGGTGGCTCTTTTCTCAGGAAAAGTTCTGGGAGAGAGATGAGAGCTATGAATATGTTGGACTTGCTGATGGTGTCTGTGCAGGAGAAGCACTAAGTAGGCACTGGAACAGATCATGAATCCGACACACATAATATCAGGCATAGAAAAGACAATTGCAAAAAGCGCAGCATTAAAAGAAGCAGGAGTTAAAATTGAACAATATCCCAGATACCATATCTTTGTATTATTAGTGCGATACCTTGAGTTATGCATAGTCCCAAGCAAAGTGCAATTTATCAGCAGATAGAAGCACCAACAGAGAAAACAGGAGGGCAAAATGCACTTTGGGGCTTGGATTTTAAGTTCTGCCCACCAGGAGTTACTGGGACTGATGGTGATGACCTGAAAACCACTCAAGAGGCAGGTCATGCTGAGAGAAACACTCCTGGTGAGAGTAAAAAGATAAACAATAAATTTGCACCCAATGGGATCCAAGAAATTTTTGAAACCCAAACAGACAATCAGCTGAGGGATCCCTTTGGAGAGTATCAATTTTGAGTTGGCCAAAGCTAGGTGGGCAAAAATGAACTCTATGGGCCTCAGCTTACGGCCTATAAGTAAAATGGAGGTGTACAGGCCCAGGAGGAAGAAATTCCCAAGAATGCCAACTCCCATCTGAATAAGAAAGAATGCCCAACACCAGGTAACCAAGCATCATTTTCTCCAAGTCTTAGGAAGAAGAATTGTGGTCAGTGCTGAAAAATCCTAGGAGAAAAGCAAAGATTTGTTAAATTTCTGAAGGGTGTTATCCATGAAGATTGGGCTCCATTTGGAGAACACTGGGATAGTCTGTGTGTTGGATTGAAATTTGATATAATTTATCTGAGACTGGTTTGTATTTTTCATGTCTTTTCCTTGGTAGCCAGAATATGAAAGTTAGCAAAAATCTAAAAAGTAACATAGATATGACACCAAAAGTCCATATTACAATGCTGAGCCTTTCTTCCTTTTGGTGCTTTTGACCCTGATGCTGGAAAAATGAATTCATAAGTTCAGTTCCAAAAGGCTACATATCAAATAATATTTTTTAAATGCATTATGAAAATATGATAATAAAAAACAGGTTAAAATGAGAAATTACCACAAAAAATCATGTTACCCTGGTCAAGACAATCACTTTTCACGTGCTCAGTAATCTCTTCTTTTAAATAGAATAAAAGTAATTATTTTACAACATATTTATGGTGATCAAATGAGATTATATGGAACTTATTTTCTAGCTTTGAGGCACTATAAGAATATTAATTTAATTGCTTTATTTATGAATAATAGTCTAGCAACTTAAGCCTAGGAAAATGATAAAGTTTAATAGTTGGGCCACGGGGAAAAGACACATTATTATATTTTTGTTGCAGCAAAGATAGCCAAAAAATGTTTCAAACCTTAAGTTGAAATTATTTTAGGAACCACAAAACTAAATTAACCATTTAACCAAATAAATATCTTTTAAAAAGGGAAATTTCCTATCTGCCACCTATATATTATCAGATGATTAATTTTCAGTAAATCCCAAAGCAACCAACAAGTCCATTAATTGTATAATGTTTTTGTAAATGTGTACATTGATATAAAATAGTATAATTCTATAAGAAAAGTCAAATATAAAGATCCAAGTGTTAATAAATAAGCATTTGTTAAATGCAAATTGTATGCTAGGTAATGTCCAAGGTGCTTGGGATACTAATAAAAAATATAATTCTGACCCTCGATTAAATTAAGGTCTTTCAAGAATACAAGAATATAGGAGACAGAGCCAAGATGGTGGATTCAAAGGCATGGACTCACCTTAGCTTTCCCTCAAATCCCTCACAATACCTTTAAATAATGACTCTAAACAAACTCTAAACAACAGAACCCACACAAAGAGTGAAGTGATTTTTGAGCCCAAGACAACTTAGAAGGTTGGCCAGAAATGTCTGTTGCACCAGGGTGAGAGAGGAGCTCAGTGCAATGCAGGCTGCACTAGCCAGCCCAGACTGGGCCCCAGCCAACTAGGAGCAAGCCTCAAGGTAACAGAGTCAGTGGCGGGCATGGCAGACATGGTGGTTTCCTGACCTCTGAGCCCATCAATGGTAAGGGGATTGGACAGTGTGTTAGAAGGAGATTTACAGGGGTCCATTTGCTGACACCAGGGGCAGGACTCTGTTGTATAGCCTATTCTTGGATCTGGATCATAGACCTGGGTCTTAGTCCCAGTGGGAGGACAGGAGAGCTTGTGGTCACAGGGGAGCAGGGTGTCTGGTCACAGTCTCAGGCTTGAAAAGAGTGCTTGTGGTGGACAGGGAGGACAGACTGTGCAAAAGGCATGGAAGTAAGTTGTTATGTACAGAAAATGGTAAGTAACCACTGAGTGTGCAAAAGAGCCATTTTGTAGAGTTCTGCTTCTGGGTTCTGAGATGGCAGAGTAAAAAGTAAGCCCCTCTTACCCTCCTGTATCAACGTCTGAAAGCCCAGAAAACATCACCCCAGGAAAACCCAGCTGAACCAGAAGAAGAAGGGGTGCAGCAGGCAGCCCAGGTAGCTTCAAGGATTAATGGAAAAGGCCCCTTTTACCCTAGGGAAGGGGAGCAATATGGAATGGGAGGCATCCCAGCAAGCCAGCGGAAAGCCCCACCTCTGCATACCAAGAGGAGATCCTGAAACCCAGGTGGTGGGGAAGGCAAGCACCAATAGCTGGACCTGTTAGTGCCTCAGTGAAGGTGAGATAACTGGTGGAAAGCAGCTTAGAAAACCACCAGGTACCTAGGAATTCTATAGCAGCCTCCCAGTTACACAGCAAAAATCTGTGAAGTGCTCCACAGGGCCCCGGTGGATAAAAATCCTGCAAATCCATGTGAAAGGAGCTGAAGAAAGTGAAAGGAAAGGAAAAACAGGCAACACGCAGGGCCCAGATTATCCAACCCTACCTCTGGAATTCCAGCGATGCTGATTCCATCTCAACACCAGGTAAGCTGCCAAAACCCTACAGCCTCCAATTGCCAGCATAGGAGTCCCCAGCACACAAAACCAGTGACCAGGCCCAAGGCTTCCAACACAAAAAGGTTGGGTGAGTGCCCTCTGCTCCCCAGCAGGGCAGCTTAATCTCTTCAAAGGCCAGGGGAATAAGCAAACACCATGGGTGAAAAGAAATGTACCATAGATTCATATCATGAGAACAGTGAAGATCAGGGCAGAAATTCTGAAGAGGAAAACTTTGTCAACAAACTCACATCTGGAACCTCAAAAGAGAATATGAACTGGTGTGAAGCCCAAATATCCTTCTTAGAAGAGCTGAAGAAGGATTTTAAAAGTCAAATGAGAGAGGTAGAAGAATCCTAAAAAATACAATTTGCCAACGGAAAAAAAAATTACACTGAAGAAAACAAGTTCCTAAAAATACAATTGGCCAACTGGAAAAAAAGTACACTGAAGAAAACAAGTCCTTAAAAAATGCAATTGGCCAAATGTAGAAATCTAATAGAATAAAACAATTTGTTAAAAATTAGAATTGAGGAAATGGAAGCTAATGACTCTGTGAGAGAGCAAGAATCAGTCAAACAGAAACAAAAAAATTAAAAAAATGATGAAAACACAAAATACCTCATTGGTAAAACAACTGACCTGGAAAATCGATCCGGGAGAGACAATTTAAAAATTGTTCATCTACCTGAAAATCACAATGAAATAAAGAGCCTGAACAGTATCTCTCAGGAAATCATGAAGGAAAATTGCCCTGAGGTCCTAGAATCAGAGGGTAAAATAGCCATAGAACGAGTCCACCAATCACCTCCTGAAAGAGATCCCAAATTAAAAACAGAAAGGAATATAGTAGCCAAATTCCAAAATTACCAAGTCAAAGAGAAAATACTGCAAGCAGCCAGAAAGAAACAATTTAAATATCATGGAACCTCAGTCAGGATTACACAGGACCTTGCAGCTTCTGCATTAAAAGACCGTAGGTCATGGAGCATGATATTCTGTACAGCAAAGTAGCTTTGAATATAACCAAGGATCAACTACCCAGCAAAAATAAGCATGACCTTTCAGGGGAGATGCATATTCAAGGAAAGAGGAGACTTCCAAACCTTCTTGATAAAAAAAAAAAAACAGAGCTCAACAGAAAACTTGATCTTCAAATACAAGACTCAAGAGAGACATAAAAAGGTAAAAGGGACAGAAATATACAATATGTTGTTAATAAGGGCAAATTGTTTACATCCCTACAAGGGAAGATGATACTCATAACTCTTGAGAACTGTGTTGTTATTATATCTTGTTAAAGGGGTATACATAAGGATGGATATAAGTTGACTTTGATGTAATGATAAAAAAATCTAATCAAGTGGGTTAAATGAATCCAAGTAAGTGGATTAATCTGATCTAAGAAAATGTACTGAGACAAAAGGAAAGGAGGAGGCAGATAAGATTTAATTACATTACAGGAAAAGAGACAAAAACCTATTACAGCAGAGGGAAAGAAGGGAGGAGATGAGCATTGTTTGGACCTTACTCTTTTCAGATTTGGCTCCAAAAGGGAATAATATAATCAGGTACAGAAATCTAACTTGCCCTATTGGCAGTAGGAGGTAAAAGGGGAAAGAAAAGGGATGGAGATAGATGGGAGGGGAGAAGCAGCAAGGATAAAATGGAAGAAAAGGGATGGTGCTAATAGAAGTGAGGAGGGACTGATAGAGGTGGTGGTCAAAAGTAAAACACTATTGAGGAGGGAAAAGGAGAAAGGAGAAAGAAAACCATAAACTAGGGGGGGAAAGGATGGAGAGAAAGACAAAGATAGTAATCTGTGAATGTGAATGGGATGAACTCTCCCTAAAACAGAAGTGGATAGCAGAATGGATTAAAAACCATTATCTTACAATATGTAGTTTACAGGAAACACATTTGAAAAAGAGTGATGCACACAGGGTAAGGGTAAAAGGCTGGAGCAGAATATATTATGCTTCAGCTGAAGTATAAAAGGCAGGAGTAGCAATCCTGATCTCAGACAAAGCAAAAGCAAAAATAGATCTTATCAAAAGAGATAAGGAAAGAAACTGCATCCTGCTAAAAGGCACCACAAACAATGAAGTAATATCATTATTAAACATATATGCACCAAGTGGTATAGCATCCAGATTTTTAGAGGAGAAGTTCAGGTAGTTACAGTAAGAAATAGACAATAAAACTACACTAGTAGGGGACCTCAACCTCCCCCTCTCTAAACTAGATAAATCTGACAACAAAATAAACAAGAAAGAAGAATATTAGGAGGGAATAGAATATTAGAAAAGTTAGGCATGATAGACTTCTGGAGAAAATTGAATGGGGATAGAAAAAATATACTTTTTTCTCGGTGGTCTATGACACATATACAAAAACTGACCACGTGGTAGGGCATAAAAACCTCACAATCCAATGGAGAAAGGGAGAAATATTAAATGCGTCCTTTTCAGAACATGATGCAATAAAATTATATGTAATAAATGGCTTTGAAATGATAGACTAAAAAATAATTGGAAACTAAATAATCTAATCCTAAAAAATAATTAGGTCAAACAACAAATCATAGAAACAATCAATAATTTCATTCAAGAGAATGACAACAATAAGACAACATACCAAAACTTATAGGATGCAGCAAAAGCAGTTCTTAAGGGAAGTTTTATATCTCTAAATGCG